TTATTTAATATAACAGAATTTTATTCATACTAATAGAAATCATATTTTTAAAAAATTAATTATTAAAATAAATATAAATATTAAAAATAACAAAAAAACATATTTATCAAATAATAAAAATAAATTATATACAAAAATAATATATATAATTTAATTTAATTCGATATATATATAAATCATTTAAATATTAAATATCAAATTAAATTATATAAAAATAATCACTTCTCAAATTAAATCAAATCAAATCACTCGTTTAATAAGTCACACACCCCTGCTTTGAAGTTACTGATTCTCGCTTTGTTTTTTCAATTGCTCTTTCTGATATGATTGTTACTGCTTTGCAGCCACTTATGTATGGTAGGGGGCAACTCCTGACATGGCAATGAAGCCAATGCTTCTGCCTGATGGAAGGATTGGATATGTCTTGTGAGTATGGTTTTATGTTATTTTATTTTATTTTTTCGTTTGTCACCCTCTGTGCAGGTCCTCCAGATTAGTCTGATGTACGTTAAGAATGTTATAAAAGGTTGGCATAGTGCATACCTCAGCCTTATCCTTGGATGGAAGAGCTCAGGAGTTATTTTCTTTTAGTTTTCAAATAATAAATATCTGTAAAACTAAAGTATATTTTTAAAATAGAAAGTGAGACAATGTTTATGAGGGTGATATTTTAAAAAGATAAAATTACAAAATTGTGTTCTTTTATGAGTGTGTTTTTAAAGAATTATTATTAATATTTTAATTTTTTTAAATAAAATATTTTTATGTAATATTTTGTCAGAATTTGATATTTTAATATAACTAGGCATTGATTATTTTTTTATTTCTTTTTTATGAAGAATATTTATTGGAAAAATAAAAAAAAACTAATAGTTTTTTGAGATAAAGAGAATATATTAAAAATTTTTAAATAATAGATTGGACAAAATTTCAGTGAGAAAAAATAACTTTTATTTATTTTTTAAAAATTAAAATTTTATTACTAAGTCAAAAGTTATGTAAATTTTATTTTTATTTATTAAAAAATAAAAATCTTAATTTGAATTAAAAAATATTTATAAAAATCAAGATTGATTATTTATTAGTCGCTATGTCAATGATCAAGTAATTGCCCTTTAATTTTTGTGGTTCACGTAGGAGGTAATGGACCGGCCAATCAATAGATGAATGTCCTAACTAGTAAGCTTTGGGCATGTCAGAGTTTCCTTCATAAATTATTTTTAAACTTGGTCTTAGAGGTTGAGCACGGCCGAAAGGCTGCACTCTGTTTTTGGAATGAATGCTCCAGCTCTTACATCATTTTTAAAAATGTAAGTAAAAAAATTGAAATATTATTTTAAAAACTGAGATTTTTGCTTTTAAAACTTTAAAAGCATCTCCTTAATTTCCTAGAGTCAGGCTCATGGTATCCAAATTGTGAACTTGCTTTGCTGCTACATGCAGAGGCCTACGCTCGTTCTTTTAAGAAAGTTAAGACAGATCATTAAAGTTCAATTATTGATAAACTATATGTAAATATGAGGTGATTAATCCACGTGTATCCACTTATGTCTTAGCATTCTAGGATTCATAGGAAGTGGATTGGTTCTTTACTCTGCCAGTTGACTTTTCAGAGGTCAAGGTGTATCTGAATGCAGTTTTTGTTCATTGATCAATTTATGGTCTGAAAACTTCAAGATTGAGAAATGGGAATTGCAGAGAATTACTATTATTTTTAGAAATTTAGGTCTGTTTAAATTTGTTTTTGCTTTCTGTTTCATGTTCTCATTTTCAGGAGAACAGACAACTACCGAAAATCTTGAAACTTGTAATGTTTTCATTTTCGAGCAAAAGAACATCTGAGAATTCTTGAACAAATTATTATTATTTTCTAATATTATTTTTCTGAAAATTTCTGCCAAAAATAGTTTTGGAAAACAATTTGTGCAATGGGATTTCTGTTTTTAAGAAACGGACCATGAATCATCTGTTTCAATTTGTATTCTCTTTTATGGTTTCTATTTCCAATTAGCATTCTTTGGTTTTGAAAACGGAAAATACTGGAAATCAAGAAAACTCAATTCCTTTTTTATCACTTTCATGTGAAAACAGTTATGAAAAAATTTTGAATACTATTTCCGCCCATCTCAAAGGTTCTGATTTCTAAAAATTCTGCTGGAAATAGTTTTTGAAATCAATCTGCCAAAGGTGTATTTCTGTTTCAAAAACAAATCCGAATAGGCAATCTTCCACTGCACCTATTAGTTGGGATTGGCAGCTAATTGTTCGATTGTCATATTCTGCATTGTATTAATTTAGCATTATAGTTCTGGCTATTATATATTATCTCTAATCTAAGTCCGTAAACTTTGACATGTTTCCTACTAGGCAATAGCAAGCAACAGGATTGTTAATAGGTTGGATTCATGTTGAATTAGGATAAATTCGAATCCAAATCCAGTTATTATATACCATATTTAAATCAGACTCCAAATTTTATAAGATATGTGCTTAGTACGAATTCAAATAAAATTCGATATTCGACACAAATGAATCTAAATTGTTAAATTATCATACATTTATTATTTTACATTTGAGAAAAATAATTCAAAACTAAAATAAGAATTATTTAAAAAATGAACTAATAAATAAATTTAGAGCTTAGAAATATAATATCATTATATTTGATTCAATATAAATATTATATTGAAACTAATTTATTGGTAATATATAATAACTACGTTTAATCCACCAATATATATATTTTTCATTTTTATTTTTATAAAAAATAAATATATGTTTCTAATTCTAATTTCAAGAAAAAATAATTTTAATGAAAATCTGGTAAGTTAAGTTTATATTGTAGTACACATATATATATGTCACGACCTGACCACGAGAGCCCATGACCGGCGTTAGGGTCCATTGACCCCAGTAAACTTTACAACACCAAGCCATACCAAAAGTACTTTTCATCAGATAAATATAATTCATGATATAATGTCCAAAACACAGTAGTTAAGACATATCTGAGAGTACAAGAAAATTTATTCTAGAATATAATAGGAGAAAATACAAAAAAAAAAGAATGCCTGTACAAAAATTGAATCTGCAATTACCAGTTGTGACTCTAGCATGCTAACCAAGACAGGAATAGCAAGACAAATCTAAAATGAATAAAAAAAATGAGTCGCGAAACTTGATGGGTAGAGATGATATCTAATTTATGCATGTTGTAATATGTATTACACCACAAGTCAAATCCATTCATAGACATATACATATATATATATATATACACAATGAGCATTAATCTCATCAAACAAGTATATGAGGGTATCAACAAAACTAGTCATCATATCACATCACTCGCCCCAAGGCACCCCCCGATCGCTATGGCCCACTGTCCATTGGTTGAGCCCCTAGCATCCTAATCACATCATGACAGTGCGCAACATGTTTGTGGCCCCCTGCCACCTGCGGCCCATACCGCCTTATACCGAGCCTAGGGCACTCCCCAGACGTTACGGATCACTGTTCTTCAGCTGAGCCCCTATCATCCCAATCATATCACATGATATCATTCTCAAATAATAGTCAAAATAGGCATATATATGCATATATAGTTTATGTCTCAAAAACCAGTATCATCATATCTCGGATATACATATATCAAAATACAATTGAAAAACATATAATCATGTCATGTTGGAATACTATTGTAGAAATGCATGTATAGGGAAAATATCATCACTCACAGTACAAAAGCTAACACAAGAAAGAAATCTCGGTCACGCTCACCCAACTCAATGGTCTAAGTGCACCTCCTTAGGCATATTTATAATTAAAACCAAACAAAATTATCACCAACACCAAAACCGACATAGCCCTAAACCGAGCTCAAATCCCATCTCGGTACCTCACACGTATCCCAAGGCATCACTACCCATCACTAAGACCCACGTGACTCACAACACCCATCAATTTTACTTAATAACCCTCAAACAATAGTGAACTAGCCTCTAAAACCCTTGAACCATAGTGAATTGACCTCCAAAACCCTTGAATCGGCTAAAGCTACCTCAAATCGAACTAAACCAGCCATAAATCCTCAAAATCAGATTTAGAAGACTCAAAACCCTAGGAACCAATTTGAATCTATCTAAAATTGCCCAAAATAAGGCTAAACCAGCCTAAAAAACCCTTAAATTGACTTGAGCCAAGCCGATTTAGTCAAAGACCTCAATTTCTAGTTAACCGGACTTTCTCGAACCAACTTGGTCTAATAGATCTTTTCTTCCTAAATCTAGACTAGTTCAACTTCCTAAATTTGAGTCAACTTGACCACTGAACCTGCCAGTCAAACCTACTGGCCGATTCAGTCAAATACCCCACTTTTTTTTTTTTTTTTTTTTAACATGGGCAGAGTTGCCCCACTAGATCAACTTAGCCCAGACAATTCTTTTTGGGCCAGCATGCAGGCCTGTGACCTAGCTAGGCCGAACTCAGCCTAATTGAGCTGGCTTAACCCAAGGCGAGACCCAAACCCATTCTAGTTCTCGTCTCTTTCACTCAACGACCCGACATTCAAATCCGGTTGCAAGGCCGACTCTTGCACCCAGAAAATTGAGAAAGAAAATCAAAAATTTACTGTGAGTATATTTTTTACTCCCTCCTAAATTTACTGTGAGTGTATTTTTTATTTGTGGGTGTGCTGACCCCAACAAGTGACATCAAAGCACCTTGGGTCCTAACAGTTATTTTCTGCACTATTTTGAAGTTTCTTTGAAAAGTCATCCAACATCTCGGCTAAACGAGCTGTGCAATGCATATTTTTATCATCCGGTATTCATCAAATTCAGCTCTCAGCAAAATCTTTCTAAGAGAGTCCTTAAACAGTCCAATAATCCCCATCAACGTAGTCATTGCCTCGACAGTAGAAGGTATGTTTTTGGCATTTTGCTTAGCTCCAAAACATTCTCTTTGAGTTTCTCATTTATTTTTCTTGTAATATCAGGCAATCATTTTGAGATTATGGATGCTTGTATTTGAACCAGCCTCTGAGCAAGAACTGGAACGCCCACCATGGACTTGTCAATTTTAGAAAGCAGAGGATGAGTCTGAAAAAGACTAGTTTCTTCTCTTCTCGCCTCCTCGTAAGATTCCTCGCCAATTCGGTTCCTCACACAGACATATCCTAGGCCGATGTTAACATCATCTGCAATAATCTTCTCAACCAAACCTTCAAGTTGAGAATGACAATACATATTACAAAAATACGAATTATTTTTGTAAAAACTTTATAAGATTTAAAAAAGATTTCAAATTATAGACATAAGTTTAAACAGAAAATGCATGTATACCTTCTGGAGGTTTATCCACTTTGGTAACTACAGCTAGAGTCCTCTCTCCAGTTTTGTCAATGCTATGAGACATTCTAATAGACTCGCAAGTCAAAAAAATCTACAATAGCAGAGAGAATGTTGAGTATTATGCTTTCCTCTAGCTTTATGTACTCCATTATAATGGCAAATATTTGCTCATATATATCTTGGGGTTGGCCATGAACAGGTACCCTCGTGATTCCGGGAAGATCCACCATTTTAAGATCTGGAACCCCCATTTTCTTGACCATCAGAGTTAATGGGAGTTCGAAATCCCCTTTTCGGTGCCGCCTATCTCATTTGTGGCGTGTCTGATGGCATTGGCGACATGGGTATGGTCGATTTCGACAGTTTTGCCATTATATTCAAGGTGGAGATTGGGATGAGGATAGGGGTGGTGGTGAAGGCGCATAATGAGAGGGACCCTAACAATAAGAACCACCAAAAACCAAATAATTGACACGATTTTCTTTTTTCTTTTTTGTCAATTGAGTCAAAAATTTGAAATGTTTTAATATGAAAACGAATTGCATGAACCAGAACCAAAAAACACAAATTGTTACTTTTGCCTGGTACATATGCCTTGGCTGCGGGGAGATCGATGCCAACGAGGGATTCGAGTGCGCTAGACTTGCCGGAAGATTGATTGCCGACGACCACGATAGTTGGAAGTTGAATGCCTTCTTGGGCGACTTTGAGGAGACGGAGGTGATCAACGGCGTCCAGCAAAGTGTGGATTCGCTCGTTGTATGAGGTGGAGAGTGGTGGGTTGTTGGAGAGCGACTTTGCTTCGACTTTGGCCACTTCGTAATTGCATTTCCAATCACTGTTACTCATATTGTGTTTTCCCTTTCTATTGGAGATATTGGAAGTTAGTAGTTATAGACACCATCCCACACCATTCACATTCAATAGTTATATGTATCATGGGTATAAACCGTTCCTCTGCAAGAATACTTAGACAATGGAAGAAAGATCAAGAATCTTGAGTTCCAAATTGGAACCGAACCAATCGGCTGGTTATCTTCCTCTCTCACTCTAGAGCCTCTAGGCTATATAATCGGTCTCTCCAGAGCCTCAAAAATTTGGACCGCATTGAAGGATCGTTATGAGTCATCCTCTATTGCTAGAATTATGTGTCTCAAAAACAACTTCAACAGCTCATAAAGGGAGGCAGCTCTGTGGCTCAATACCTGAGTCCGCTTAAGTATATTGCTGACAAACTTGCAGCCATATGAGAACCACTGAGTTATCAAGACTACCTTGCATATCTCCTTGAGGGATTGCCCATTGAATACAATCCCTTTGTATCCTCTGTCTATAATCGATCAGACAAACCTTTAATTGCTGAGATCCAAAGCCTTCTTCTTGCTTATGATCAAAGACTGGAACAACAACAAGTTGCTGAAATATTACCACTCCCTCAAATTCAAATCTCTTGAATGACTATCAATCCGAAACATTCCCAAACTGCAGCTAACATCGGAGGATTTTCTAGCAACAGTTCATCTGCTCGACCTTTTGTGCGAAACTGGATGCCAAACCTTAAAGCTGCTGGACCTAGTGTGTTGGACTGAGCTCCTTCATTAAACAACAAAAGGCTATCAGCAACAGGCCAGAGAAACAAGCCCAAATGCCTAATTTGTGGCAAATTGGATCACACAGCACTTCAGTGTTATCATCGTCTAGATCCAAGCTATCAAGCCCAAGCCTAATTCACTAATACGGGTCAAGCAGATGCCATTAATAACCCAATCTAGGTTCCACTTCAAAACAACTTTACCAATTGTAATGTTGCTAGTAAGGATTTCGCGACCAATGTTGAAGGGAAAATGGAAAATCTAGTAAATCAATTTGGTAAATGGTTCTTGGATTCAGGGGTGACACACTATCTCACCTCCTCCATTGACAATCTGAATGCTTCAGCTGTATATCAAGGTAAGAATCAAGTAATGGTAGGTAATGGTAATCTAATTCCTATTCTTCACATTAGGTCCAAAACTCTTCGATCTTCTTCATCAAAACCCATCTCGCTGAATTGTGTCCTTCATACTCCTTTTATTGCAAAGAACCTGATTAGCGTCTCTAAACTTTGTCTTGATAATGATGCTATTGTTGAGTTTAACTCCGATCATTTTCTAGTTAAAGATCAGAAATCCTGCAAACCCCTTCTTCAAGGGAAGCTTGAGCAAGAGCTGTACAAGTTATTTACTCCTCACTCTCCTAATGTCAATCATCAACCTTCACAACTAGATAGGTCTCAGTCTCCTATCTTTCCTATTTCTGTTTTCTTTGTCTCCAATGGCAAAAGTAAAGTAGATGCTAGGATTTGGCATGCTAGACTAGGGCACCCAAATGATGAAACTCTTGCTAAAATGTCTCAAATATGTAATTTTGTTTTTCAAAATGTAATGAAAAAAGCTGTTTTTGTGAAGCTTGTTTATTGTCAAAACATCATAAACTGCCATTTAACACATCAGATCACAGAGCCTCGAAGCCTTTTGAATTAGTCCACATAGATTTATGGGGACCAGCTCCTGTAATGTCTATAAATGGATACGATATTTCTTACTCATAGTCAATGATTTTAGTAGACATAGTTAGATCTATTTCTTGAAAACTATGGATCAAACCTACCAAACTTTCCAAAATTTTCAAAAATTGGTAGGTACACAATTCTCTACTAAAATTGAAATAGTGAGATCAGATTGGGGAGGTGTGTTTAGAACATGAACAAATTGTTTGCCCAAATGGGAATTCACCATGAAATATCATGCCCATACACATCATAGTAAAATGAAAGAGTTGAGCAAAAAAATAGACATATAGTTGAGATAGGATTGAGTCTAATAAATCATTGTAGTCTTCCCAAACAATTTTGGCCATATACATTTTTTGAAGCTACTCATATTATCAATTTACTTCCATCTAAACTCATAAGAAATCAAATTCCTGCTGAAATTCTATACAAAAGAGGGCAAAATACAGTTTTCTCAAGGTATTTAGGTGTAGATGTTTTCCTCTATTAAGAATTTATCATGGCCATAAAATTTGACCCTAAAACTGTTGAATGTGTATATCTTGGCCATAGTGTTCACCGTAGAGGTTACTTATGTCTAGATTATAAAACAGGTAAAACCTATATATCTAGACATGTAGTATTTGATGAAATGAACTTCCCTTTTAAAAACATGGGTCAAAATTGTACTACTAATTTTTGCTATGAAAAGAACATTGGAAACAGTTCAAGAATCCTTCCTCAAAGTCTATCACCTGTTTTGTCACCTTGTTCAACTAAATCGAACCTAGAAACACAACATTCATTCTCTTCTCAATGTCATCAAAGTCTTAGTCCTGGTATCTCTAATACTTTTAGCTCTTCCAACTCTTTCATGGAACAAGACCCTTGTGAATGTCACAAAACAAATTTCACCTACAGATCAAATTGAAGCTGTTGAACACTTAGAAACCAAAGCTCTAAATACTCATCCCATGGTGACTAGATCAAAAGTTGGTATGTTCAAGCCAAAAATGTTTTATTTTACTCTAAGGAGTTCCATTCCAACCATAGAAATCCCTTCAAAACCTTTGAATGTACAAGAAGCTAAGAAAAATTAAATTTGGTTGATTACAATGCAACAAGAACTTGCAGTCTTAAAGAAAAACAAAACTTGGGAGTTAGATCCTAAACCAAAAGCTCAAAAGATAATAGGTTTGCAAGTGGGTTTATAAAGTCAAGCTAAATTCTAATGGCACCTTTAGAAAGGTGTAAAGTAAGATTAGTTGCCAAAGGATATGATCAAACACTAGGGATAGATTATTCCGAAACCTTTAGCCCATGATAAAACCAACTACTGTGAGAATTCCCGTCTCTTGCCATTTCTTTAAATTGGCCTATTAAACAGCTTGATGTACATAATGCCTTTTTTAAATGGTGACTTAAGTGAGACAGTTTACATGTATCAACCACCTGGATTTGAGGATAATAAATTCCCAACTCATGTGTGTCAGTTGAATAAAGCTCTCTATGGTCTCAAACAGAGCCCTAGAGTCTGGTATAACAAATTAAGTAGCTGCCTGCTAAATTGGGGTTTCATCAACTCCAAAGCTAACCCATCTATGTTTATTAATTCCCAACAAGGACAACTCTTAATCATCTTAGTATATGTATATGACATACTCATTACTGGGACCAATAAATTAGCCATTGGGAAGGTGTTAAAAGAACTAGACAACAAATTTTCTCTAAAGGATCTTGGAGATATTGGCTATTTCCTAGGAATTCAAATTACAAGAATTGGGAATATGATTCATTGCAACCAGGAGAAATACATGAAATATATAATTAAGAAAGCTGGTCTTACTGAAAGCAAGGCAGCTAATACACTTATGGTAACCAACTCTCAGTTATCTATTTATGACGGAGAAGGCTATCTGACCCTTCCACTTATAAAAGTCCAGTAGGAGCACTTCAGTTTTGTACCCTTACATGACCAAACATGAGTTTTGTTGTTAACAAGGTTTGCCAGTTTTTCCATGCTCCTACTATGATACACTTCCAGGTTGTTAAGAGAATTATTAGATACCTCAAAGGCACCCTATCTCATGGATTAACCTTCATGGCAGACAAATCTTTCACCCTAACAAGTTATGCAAATGCAGATTGGGCAAGCTGCCTAGATGATAGGAAAAGCACAAGTGGTTTTTGCATATTTCTAGGCCCAAACCTAATTTCCTGGTCAGCCAAGAAGCAATCAGTGGTATCCAAATCTAGTATCGAGGCAGAATTTAGATTTGTGGCACATACTTCAGTTGAAAAAAGTTAAATTGAATCCATTTTGAAGGAATTACAAGTTTCTTATCAAGCACTTCCTACTATATTTTGTGATAATCTTAGTGCTGTCTACCTCTCAGCAAATTCAATTCGTCATGCAAAGACAAAACATGTGGAAATAGACTTCCATTTTGTCAAAGATAAGGTAGTTAAAAGCCTTTTATAGGTTCAACATGTTTCTTCAACAAATCAGGTTGCTAATCCTCTAACTACGACACGCTCCACTCAACAATTCCTACATGCAAGAACCAAACTTACAATTCTTCCAAGACCTGTAAGTTTGAGGGGGGATATTGGATATATTAGAAGTTAGCAGTTATACACACCATCCCACACCATCCACGACAGTAGTTATACACACCACATTCAACAGTTATACACATCATGGGTACATGGGTCTTTATAGTTTATAAATGTAATTATTTTGTTTTATCTCTATCAATGTATATATATACGTAATTCTTTCATGCTATTTTAATAATGTAAAACAATTATAAAATCTATATACAGATTTATGTCAATGAGTTCACTTGTATAGAAGCTATGTTATCTTTGTCCTTATAATTTCTTCTATTATCTTGCTCCCCTTTAACAATTATCCGTCCAAATTACAAGATTTTTACACTTTCCGATTGAGTGCGGAGGGGGATTGTCCAATAAGTCTTTTACAAGGGAGGACGTGGAAGAAATGATTCAGTGTTCCCCAGTCCAATTCAACCGTACATTAAGCTGCTGAATTTAAGCTATAAAGCGTAAAGAAATTGCCCCGTCAGAGGACGAGATGCAGAGAACCTCGTCCTCGGCCTTGGGGATGGCACTTTACCCGCTGGACTTCGGAGAGAAACGTTTAGGCTTCTTATAACAGGTGTGTGTGTGTGTGTGTATGTATGTATATATATATATATATAATTTTTTTTATAAAAATACATATAAATTAAAAAAATTGAGTTATTTAAGTTAAATTTATGTGTTTAATTAACTAAATATTTTAAAATATTATTTC